CTGAGTTGTGTTTGCATTCTCAGCCAGTGCAGTGCACTGCTTGAGTTATTTGTTTGAACATGTTTCGGTTTCACTGCCATCCGCCCAAGCAGTGCAGTGGCGCTGCTGTAGAGTCGATGTGTGTAGCCCAGGTTTGAGTAGCCCAGGTTCGAATCCTGTCGATGTTAAGTGTGATTTCTTTTTTTATTTGCTCTAAATTTATTTTCTTTTTTATATATTAGAAATTATGTTAAAGTTTTTCTTTTTTTTTCTGCATTTGTAAATGAGTATATGTATATAAAAATATCATTCGAGGTTCTTGCTTATTATTTACTTTTATTTGCGATCATTATTAGTATGAATATTAGAATCAAAGTTTTTTGGCATTAGGGCGTAAAGTAGCTTTCGTTCTTGTTCATTATCATCGTGCATTATCATTGTTCATCGCCATTATGCAGGACATTCTTCATCATTGCTGTTGTTCATTTTCACTGTACATGATTTATTCATGGTCATTAATTATCATTGATCATCCAAATCAATCCAGACCCAGAATGAATTTATTCATTAGCTTTTAGGATAAATAGACTTTACATACCTTACAGAAAATTGTTCATCGATCAGTTATTTGATTACTGAATCGCTACAAATTTATACAGTTGCCTTCTTACCGAGTATCTGCTGTATATACATTTATGTAATTAATTTTTTAACAATGTCAAAAGTTTAAAGAGGGATCTCAAAAAGCCATTAAAAACCTGCTTATCCATTAAAATTTTGTAATTGTCAAGTGTAAATAAGTCCATTTCTATATACCTCTTTCTCCCTCTCTTTCTCTCTCTTGGTCTTTCGCTCTCTCTATGTTTGCCATTGTCCCTCTGCCTCTCTCTCTCCCTCCCTCTCTCTCTCTCTCTCCCTCTCTCTCTCGCTCTCTCTTCCACTTGGTAATGACTATTAAACAGTTGTTTATTTCTTCACTTTGTATTCGTTCACACACAATTATCTGGGCACTCGTTTGAATCTGTTGGTGGGGGATAGGCTGGAAGGGGGTGTCGGCAAATGCCTGGGAGCCATACATCTATAAATATTAATGGCAGCTCCCACGACTGGCATTAACCGATATCAATTATCGGAGCAAAACTGAGGTGTCGTTACTAAATTGATGGAATTCTACAATAAATGGGGGAGAACAATCACTTCGTGTGAGCCAAAACGAAAGACTTATGCAACAAACTTGACCCTTTGAGTGGGGAATGGATGGGCGTGGGCGGGGAGGGCAGCGGTGCTCAACTGTTAGTCATCAAACAGCGCCAGAGCTATGCCACAGCATGTGGCATGCCACATGCCGTTTGCTGACCAAAACCAAAAACGTTTCCCACGCTCGCAATTTCGGCCAAGTTAAGCAAACTATGTGCCAATGTATGTATGTGTATGTGTGTGTGTGTGTGTGTGTGCTGCTTGGGTGTGTATAACATGTCTAGCTGGGGGCATGGTCAGAGGCGTACGCTGCGCACTGGTGGCACTACTTGGCTGGCTACTGTTGCACGCCCCGGCTAGATCCAGAGCCTAACCAGAGAGCCAAAAGCCGAGCCGAGACCGGGCTGAAACGCTGAACCCAGAACCGGTTGCCACAGTCAACACAAAAAATGCAAGGGTATATTGAGTATATAGAGTATATGGGGTATACATGTATGCATGTATGTGAGCTTTGCAATGTTTATATATGTATGTATATAGCTATGTCTTTTGTATGTATATGCGAATGCTTGGAAGGGCCAAGTCCAAGAGGGAAGCAAAATTTTGTATATTTTTCTCTCGTCGGTAGTGTACGCGCAGATACTCTGTAATCTGTCTAATATAATACATCCGAGGGATGAGTTGCATATTGCAATTTAAAATTTAAAATGTCTTGAGATATATATATATATATAT